GACTGTGCCCCCTACATAGCAACAGATAATAAGCAACAATGCTTAAACAGAACAGTTGCATCAACATTTAATGTGAATTTTAATAAACGTTAGCAGTTACCAATTTAACTGTTTTATGAAAAAGAAAACACACATGATTTTAATACTTTGAAGGTCTCCCTCATGTAAATCACACTGAAATTAAGACAAGTTATTAATAACACTTTAACAGTTATTCATTCCTTTGGTAGGTGGCCACTTGCATCATATATAAGCATTCCATCTATATAAAAGCGGTGAATACCGTATATTATAAGCTATAGATTTCAATAAAATAAACAATGAAGTAACCATCTTCTTGACTGAATTGATCCAGGTCTCAGGAAAGCACCCTGACAAGTTCCTATTACCACGTGTCCCTAAGTAAGACATACATATATGATGACATCTAATTCATGTGTTTCCCCTGCTGTAGATCCACTGCAATAGTCCCACGGAAGACATGGTGGTTTGTTTGTTTTTTTTTTCAATTATAAGTTGGGTGAAAGAAAATCAAGAGTTTCTTATTTAATATCATGTAATTTTTAAGTGATGTCCACACTGAATAGTCCACAAACTGCCAGTGCCACTGTGGTCAAAGCACCTGGCTAGTGAAATTTCAGGTCATCTAACTACACTCATTTCCCATTAATCCCACTCCTTCCTAGTTGTCTCTTGGGAGGGACTTTTTTAGAAAAGCCAGTATCACTCATGAAAAATTATTAGTTTCTTTTTCAAAATGCAAAATTATATGCTTTTTAAAGCCAACTTGATTATTCAGTGAATAAATGGCACAATCCTCCCTAAAAACCAATTTTAGTATAAAAACTTTTATTCACCTCAAACCAAATGCTTAAACCAAAGCTAACCAGTAGCAAAATGACTGGATTGAGTTTCATATTTAATCTTCCCTACCCACAAAGAAAAATGAAACTGCTAGAAGGCAAAAGTGAAGAAACAGATCTGATGGTTATTAGCAGAAGATCTACGGCCAAACCAAACAGCTAGGCCTTGAGTAATCAAGAATTAACTGCACTCATTTCTATTTTTACATATATGCGTCTTAGCTAAATTCACTAATACTGGACAGGGAAGTTCATAAAATATGCTAGTAATACATAATCAATGAGTATAATGTACATATAAAGGCTACTGGTAATACTGCCCCCAAAAACAAAGAATATGAAATGTCTTACAAGGGACTGTGTACTCTACATAGCAACAGACCTTAAGCAACAATGCTTAAACAGAAAAGAAACTTAAAATTGGATACTTTACAAAGTTGAATATAATCCATCAATTGTAAATCATTAAAACATTTCATAAATTTCTACAAAGCGCAATATTAAAAGCTTGTAAATTATTTTAAAACATCCTGGCCAAAAGAGCATACCTTACAGAGAGCCTAGAAGAATGGCTCATTAGTAATCCATTTATCCCTTCTCCAAAAAGTCTTATGTTCCAGAAAATATAAATGAGAAATAGACCTTACTTCCCTGACCTTCAATTATCCTTAAGATGAAATTAAACAAATAAAATAATCATTAAGTGCTTCCAGTTATTAAAAACAAAACAGTGCTAACAGTGGTGTCCAATAAAGTGCCAAGTGACTGAACACCAGCATATGGCATCCCCACTCCTTAACTCCAGGCGTACTTGAATGATTCCACTGGCTGGAAGTCTGGCCCAGCCACAGGGCACCACCATGTCCAGAAGATCCCAGGCCTGTCCTAGCAGGGCTCAAAACCCTTAGGAGGAACAAGAACCAGAATGGGCCCTTATGAGATGGAAAACAAGGCAAAGCTGAGAAGAACAATCAGCCCAAGATACTCTACTTTGAGGTGCTTATTATGTACAGTTTTTAAAAGGATAAATTAGGCCACAATGCCAGAATTTCTCCACTAGTATATCAATCCATGGTCAGAGCTCTGGATTTTAGAAATTCTGCTTCTAATATAAACCTCCTTTCTGAGGAATTCATATCCCAACCAAATAAGGATTTTATACAACAGCAAAAGTAAATGTAGAATTTTTAAGAGAGGACATCCTTACTGGCTCAATAATACATGAGCGTAAGAGAACACTTTAAGATTTTGTTTAGAATATGTCACAGGTAGCACTGTATTTCTAAACAGTTGGCAAGCAATCAGTCTTTAAGGCCTATGATTTAGGTATTAAAAAAACTGAAATGTGCAAGGCATTAACCTTTAAGAAGTGGCAACTGCGAAGTGCAGCAGTTTTTTTAAGTTTCTGTATAAAATAGCCTAGGAGCCATCCTAGTCTAGAGGATAAATGAAATATGTTCCCTCTGAAAAATATACACACACTCAGTATACATACACACATATATACATATTTAGCCAAAGTATCAAAATGACTTGGAAACAAATGTTCTAGTCTAATTAAACATTTCAAAGTAAAATTTTAAACTTCCTAAAACTTCCTGATGTGTATTATTCCCAGAAGATTCTAGTTCAAGACACTTAGTATGTTTGATTGTATTCCTCGTGAATTTTCTCATTGAAGGTTTCCTTTAAAATCATGTTAGCACAAGCTTGGATTTCCTGGTTTCTAGAGAAAGCCTACACTCACCATTTCCCCTCTCACGCAGACTACTCTGGATTTCCATCTTTCACAGTGGGTAAGTGTGAATCGCAGCATCCTAGAAATCACTACTTTCTGGCAGGCTGTGGCTTTATTAAAAAAAAAAATTTCCCCAGAAAAGTAGCTTGAAGAAACTGGCAGCTTCAAATGGAACATTTATTCCACATCAACAACTCACCTTTCAGATCTGCTCAGTTTACAGGTCAAAACATGACTTTTATACTAACAACTCCCACCACATACAAGAAATGAAACCAAACTGCCTTCTCATTTTCCTTAATACACCACCACCCATAAGAATCCTAGATTCTAAGATTGTAACTTCGGCTTCAGTAAGTGGAGTTCTGATGACATAAGAGGAGCAACAGGACACCTGGTCTCACGCAGCATTAAACACAATAACAAAGCACTTATTTGGTGACCCAGAGCCCAGCAGATTATGAACAAAATACTTTGCACAGCACCCATTCTCTACTCAGAGTACCTCCTGAAGAGCGACAATGACGGTCGACCTCTCTACTTCACTCACACTATTAGAGACTGAACCATCAACTCCCTCCACTCCGTGTTAAAACAACTTATGCCATCATCCCCTCAGATAACAGACTACATCATGGGCAGTCTCTCACTTTCCTGTTGGTTTGGTGATTCACTCAGAGCCCCAGGCTTCTGCACCGAGACCTACACTCATCTCCACACCTGTTTACACACCTAACAATGGCACAATTCTAGATTTCTGGCATGTAAATAAGTGGTGTAAAAAAACAGTAAAGGAAGTGATAAACAGAGCAGACCCATCAAGAAAAGCATTCCTTCAGATGCTAAAATGTCACCCCACCAAAAAAAAAAATTAGTAATGCAGCAAGAAAATGAAGGTTATATTTTAACATAAAGCGACTTGAAATAATTCTGAATTTATTGATAAAATATAACAGAGAAAGCTTAAAAATTTATAAACAGATCAGTAAAATAAAAAAATAAATTATAGAATCATACCTAATACAAAGAGGAAAGAGACAACAGGCTGTTGTCAAAAATCATATGCGTGAAGTCCCTGGAAACATTTGGTAGTGGGTTGTTATTTGGCAACTTATGAAAAAGAATTAATGTGCAATTTCAGAAAGGTGATGACAAGCTCTCCCAAAAATTCCAAATCTCTTCGAGAGATTTTACATGAAAATAAAATATGTAAAGGACTTCTCCATGTATCACAACAAAATCATACACATTTTCTTTTCTTAAGATTAGACTAAGAAGCAATACCCTGACTCGGTGTCTTTAAAGTCAAATGTGTGCTTCCAGAGTACACAAGGCAATCAGGTGCAGGAAGGAAGTATTAGCACTTCTATGCAACATTTACTTTTATGCCATCCTTGATTTCTCTTTTCGTGTAATGGACATATGCTGTTGTTGCATGCCATCGAGTTGATTCCAACTCATAGTGACCTCATGTGACAGAGAACTGCCCCATAGGGTTTCCTAGGCTGTAATTTTTACAACAGCAGATTACCAGGTCTTTCTCTCGCAGAGCTGCTTGTGGGCTTGAACCAATGACGTTTCAGAAAGGTTAGCAGCGCAGCGCTTAATCATTGTGCTACAGGAGTGGCTGGTGGGGTCGAACGGCCAACCTTTTGGTTAGCAGCCATTAGCACTTAACCACTGCGCCACCAGAGTTTCCAATGTTAGTATAGTGGTATATAATTTAACATCTAGATGTGTGGATTTTTAACAGGGCGTTTGTGTTTAAAAACTTTTCACTGATCAAGCTACATGTTCAAAAGATTTGGAGACTGCTTAAATTCACTAGAAAGCTACAAAACTACTTTTTACAATTTCAGAATCACAACACAAATTCTGAGCTCAGGATGACAAAATGTTGATAGACTAGACATCCTACAATGACAGGAGTGAATGGAACTGAAGTGATACTATCAATAGCCTGGAGTTACAATTCCAGAATTCCAAGCCTAGGATTTATCTTCCCCTCTAACCCAACTGACAAATAACATGGAGAAAACCAGAAATCGTGCCAGGTAAATAGATTTGACGGTCAATCCTGGCTTGTTTAACCTCTAAAACAACATGTAAATGTTCGAGCAATTTTTCCAGTTTGGGAAAAAAAAAAAAAAAAAAAAAATCCAGTACCCTCTAACCATTAAGGGTCATGGGTTACTTTCCCCCATCAAACTTGGGGGTGGGGTGGGGAATTAAACCTGTATTTTAACTCTAAGAAGTTAAAGGTTGACTTGTGGAGGGCCTCTGGATTCTTCAATTATATACTAGGAAAAAAAAAAAAACAAGGAAAGTTTCCACTTTATTTGAACACACAAAATATGCCATGAGGACTTTAACACCACAAAAGCACTGTGGCAGATCATAAAAAAAAAAAAAAAAAAGGATTACTAAGGTCAGACATGTAACTTTAATTTTGTACTTCAAATAATCAGATGTGAACAAAAAAAGTTATTTTAGAAATTACATAAAAACCCACTCTTGGGTGGCGTAAATGCAGTGGCTTACTGGCATTGGCTCTGAGCCAAGTCTATGTATCTCTTCCCAACTGCATGGTGGTGGCTTGAAATCAGCCACAGTGGGAGTAACTTACCCCACAGACATGGGCAAAGGCTACAAATTAAGAGCTTATTTTTCCTCCAGACAGCATGGTTGTTAAATATTTTCCAGCACACCACTGAGTGGATGGGGCCAGAGCAAAAGAAAAGCTGAAATAATCACTGACAGCAGATGTCCCAAAACCCCATTCAACCTGCTCCCCTTCTTCAATGTAGGCCACTGCTGCCCAACAGCATTCATTCTGGCAAATGATGGATACCACTCCAACTATCAAATACGTCTCTCCAGTGAATACTGATGTTAAATGGTATGTCACCTTTTGATGCTAAGAATTCTGTATGTTCAAACAAATACGACTTATTTAGGAAGGAGGCAGTCTATAAACAGAATATTCTGTCTTATACCTTGAGCTAAGGTTGTAAACTTTCATTAATAAAAGGAAAACACACACACTCAAGCTTCCCCCAAATTAGCTGATCTCAAAGAGAACACAGGCCATCATCAAACTCCTAAGGCCTCACACCTCTCAGAGGCTTCCTGGATAGGTTTATAGAAAGAGGACTCACAGAACTGGTTCCTACTGAAGTTGCTTTACTGCCTTTTAGCTATGGTTTCCAGGCACCCCTGTGCTGAGACAGTTAATTATCAAAGACAGCGTCTCTGAAAACAAACAAATGGCTTTTCTCCTTTAATTCAAAAAGGTAAAATACTTCTGTGCTTTGAAAATTTAAAATTTCTAGTTAAGTCATCAATATTTATTTATCACTTAAAGTACAAAATGTTAATGAACCTAATAAACTATTTCAAAGTGCTGCTGAGAGGTCTAGGTCTAATTTCAAACGGGCATGCAGACTAAATCAATACAAGAAAGTTCAACGTGCCTGTTCCCATCACTACTGAGCACTGCCGTCCAACTCTACTATTGCACTTCTCAGGAACAGAGCTTTCGGCTGCGGACCACACAAGAACCAGTAACACAGCTCCAACCGCCACGTCGAAGCCCACTCCTGAATATTCTCTCTCCATTCCTAAGGAACTAGCACAGATGTCTAATACAAGACCTTCTCTACACTGTATATAAACAATTTAAAGGGAATATTAGGCATCTGGAAAACGCTGGTTTGTCTCAGCATCATTTTCAGCCCTCAAGTCCTTACTGCCTCATCCCATTCAGTTCATGTGGCTCAATTACAGGAACTATTTCTATGGTTAAAAGAATAGTTTAACAGGCAGGGTGGTGGTGGTGGCATATAATTTCCCTGGACTTTAAAGCCAAATACATCAACAAAAGGTCCCACTGTGGGAACGATTTCAACTCATTTTGGGGGAATCAACAAATCTGTCTGCACCTGGCTGTATGGTAATATTTTATAAATGTGGTGATTTAGACATGAGGCTTAAATTGTTTACCACTAATACAAACAATCCAATCCCTATGTGTGAGCATTCCCAAATGAACTCTGCTCCTTCCTAATTAAAAATCAACTGGAAGAAATAAGCACATCTTTACCTCACTACTTGGAGGCTTCCCTTTGCATTTCATCTTCCTAATTACATTTTTAAAACTACCACAACCTCTAAGAACCTTAAATTTAAAATAGAAAGAAGATAAATATTCAATAGGAAATGAGGTAAAGTGAGCAGAAAAAAGGATCCTTTACTTTTGAGTATCTTCTCTCTGGGAAAACATCTCTCATATTTCAAGTTATTAACTGAATCCTCAAAGGCCCCTCAATTTTTAAAAAACCCAGGTTCATCTCCATTAAAAGCCAACACTGACCATGCTGTATTGCAGGGATATGTAATCACACCACCCAGACAGCAGACATTTCCACGCTAGGTGTGGGGTCCCGTATTCTCACTGGATGTTCCCAACACTGTCTCCAACCCCAGGTTTAAAAATCTTCCTGCACTGCAGTAGACTAGTTCCGTGCTCTGTTGACAGGTTCAGATAGATCACACTCACGGCTAAGACACCCACCCTGAATAAATGTAAACAAGATGCTTTTTGTGGAGTTGCTTACATATGTCACAGTTCACAACAAAGAAATCTCCCCAATAGTACTGCTCCAATCTTACTCTGTGTGAACAGGAATGATTCGTTACAGCTCATTTTTAGTGGTTCAACAGAGCACACTGAAGTCCTAAAGATCTCATCTAACTAATATCTCTTAAAATAATATACTCTAAGCATAATTTTTTTTTTTTCTGGCCAAAGGGTCCCAATGGCCAGAATGAGTAACTTTGTCCTTAATTGCTCTTGCAAGGCAGAGCCCCACCAAAAATTTCTTTAATACAAAGCTCAAAATATTAAGAAAAAGAAAACAGAAAGAGAGGGAGGTGGAGTCTGGACTCCAATTAAGGCATTTTCATACATAGTTCAACTTCAGTCCTATTCAAAGGGAATCCTAAAAGGCAGTTTGATGGGGAATGACAAAAATCACAACAATCCATTATCAGCTTTGTGAAATTACCAACTGCTCACTTCAAATGTAAAGATGTTGAATGTCTCTCTGTTTCTTTGTTCCCCAGTTTCTCAATCCACATTGCATACGTTATGTTTTCTGTAGGTCTGGGGAAAATGGGCCAGGGGTGGAAGGTCCATCCAGGCTAGACAGAGTGAACGGCCCATGACTGTTCAGTACAGAAGGAAACTGAGAAAGAAAATAAAACACATTATCATGTTATTACTCAACCCCAAATTTTACTTTCTGTCCCAACGATATTCCCTGAGGCAGAACAAGACAGGCTTCTGCAGTGGCTCACGGGGCCTGCTCCTTTCAAAGTCAGTCATTGTTTATCAAGGAAGAATGTGACATTATAACAAAAACTTTAAAGAAAAAACTTATTTTTAATATTAACACTGCCCCCCCAACCTTGATGAAATGGAAACAAAGAACAAACCTATACCTTCTCTTATACTCTAAGGCATACAGGTTTACTTCACACCTCATTCCAAATGAAGACTTCAGAAAATTCCGTAAATGACAACATGCACTATTGAGTGTAATTCAATTATAAAGCAAATCATGGACCCTCTGAAGGGGTCCACAAAGGTACAGAAAAAAATGCCCATCTATTAACTCTGTACTGGCACAGGCAGTTACAGGAGGCTCAACCCAGAAAAGGGGTCCCCCCATGTATTCTGAGGTTCAAGCTATATAAGCACTAAGTCTTTGCTTAAGGTCTTAGATCACTCCACAACTCGATGGTCTGTCGGTGAAGGGCAAAGAAACATCTAAAAATGAAATATGGAAAATTCTCAATATACTTTCTCATCCATAATTTAGCATTTTTGCAAACAAATGCAAAAGTAGAAAGACTTCTTCTTCTCTTTCCTTACCATTCCCAAAAAACAAATGAAAAGTTAAATGACAAACTGTAAGAAGGAAAAGTTACCCATGAATAACTGAATGAATTAACCACAAGGAAGTCTACAAGTTATAAAGTCTACATACTTTGGGGCAAAATAATGGTTAAAAACTGTAAGACTTTTCCTAACATCTTGGTGAAGAGATATTTATATTTTAAAAATTTCTTAAATTTTAAATTCCTTAAAATATTCACAAATATCAATTCTGAGGGGGAAATGGGAGTATTTGCTATGCTATTCCCAAGACTTTTCTGTATTTTTTTTTAATCCTCAATTAAAAGGAGAGACCTACGTGCAAGAGATTCCCTCAAAATACATATATATATTTAACTATATTTTCTAAAAATAAAGGATTTCTTGTGTTTAAAATAACAGAAAAAATTTGGGTGGCCTCAAAATCTACTACAATACTGAACAATTCTTGGTCTACCTCAAAGGTATGTAATATTAAACGACAGAAGGAAACTTTGCTGTGAATATTTATCCAAGCTGTTTGCTGGCTAGAAAATTAACACTTAGAAATTAAAACATAAATTATACTTATTAAATATAGCCTTTAGAATGATTAAACTGAACATGGGACACTGCCTTTTTGGCTATTTCTTCATTTAACATGTCCCAATTACAAGAAACAAGCTTTTAGGTCATTTACCTGGAAAAGTGTGTTAGCACCTTGTAGTCTGGCTGGACTCAGGGGAGCAACAGGGCTGAGGGTACTCCAGAAGTGGATGCTGGAGAGCAAGGGGCTGGGAGTCAGTAAGATGGGCGTCTGCAATACACAAAGCAAAAACGTCCATCAAATGACTTGTCAGGATTATGTTTTTATCCTTACAATAGTACACACATAGCCCTATGTTTTAATCCTTACAATAGTACACACATAGCCCTGAACCAGTGTCCCATTCTCCACTCCAAATATCTCTAAGTCTAAAACTCTATCATCAGGAAAAACTCATAAAGCATTTGTACAACCTAAGGAAGATAAAGGTCAAAATAACTATTTTTTAGCCCAGCTTTTATAGAGTGTTTCCCAAAGAGGAGAACTGATCTGAATTCAGGTACAAAGGAATAATGGGTAACTGAGTAACAAACACATTTGTTTATAATGAGAAGTTCTGGGAGTAATCTACCTATTAAAATGTTCTTATGAGATGAGCAAGTTAATAAATACCTGATTTTACTGCATAAACTTGCTATGCAACATCACACCAGTCATTTTTCTTAAGGTTCTCAGGACCTATTTTCTTGAGATTATCACTGTTTTGTTTTTTTTTTAAGATATGATATCATCTAGTTTTATAAGACCAAAAAAAGAGAATACTTGTTTTCTTTAAGAGGAAGTTGAAAAGCCAAAATATTTGTTTATTTATATAGCAGAGTAAAATTTTTAACAGAATAAACCTTTTATTTGGCAATCCTAGTTGAGTTGAGAAATTGGGCTACCTTCACAGGGTCAAACATAACCTTTCTACGACAAAACTAAGTAGCAGAATGAGAACTTGTGGGCATAAAATCCAGATTTGTTTAAGGAAGTGAATAAATGCAAACAAAGGCAACACTAAAAAGAAAGAGCAAGCTACCTGTGAAAAAAGTGCTGGGGTAAGAGAGGCTGTCGGCAGGGACGGGCTTAATATTCCCAGGGGGCTGGGATCACTGCCTGTGATCACAAGGGTGGGTGCCAGTTCTAATCCTTTGGGTTTCTTGGATCTTGATGAATTATTTGTTTTGTCCTTTTCTGGCAAAGTTGAATCCTGGTCTTTAGGCTCCAGTGACAAGTTCTCGGGAAGTTCCACTGACTGAGAAGCCACTGAATCAATGTCTGTGTCGATGTCGGGGTTAGAACTCAACGGTGGTGAGGGTGTTCTAGGCGGCTCTTGCAAAGCAGGGGACAGGGACGAAACAGGAGGGGTGGTGGTAAAAGCACTAGTTATGCTGGGTGCAGACGCTGGGGCTTCCAGAGAAGGCAGTTTTTGGGAAACCAAAGTCTCCAACGCTTGGATAGTTTCTTCTGAAGATGGAGAAATACTTGGGCCAGTTGAGATGGTGGCGGCAACAGGTTCAAGTGGTGGCTTTTTGGAAGGTGTTGTCACAAATTTGATGACAGATGGTGTTGGCTCCTGAGGAGATTTCTTCTCTGCCAGTTTCTCAGCTGGATTCTCAATCTTTATGGATTTGAAAAGCTTCATATTGGAGGAGTTCAGAGAGTTGAGAGTAAACGAAGAATATAAGCCAGAGTGTATGTAGTCATTGCGGCTAGAGGTCTTGGCACCAGGCTGTGGTGGCTTCTCTTTCCCTCCATTCTCCACATCTTTGGAACTGCTGCTGACTTCACTGAAGCTTAAAGTTTCACAATCTCCCTCAATCCTGCCCACTGTCATTGGATCCATGTTCAAAATCTCCGGGTAAGAGACAAACTTATACACAAACTTCTGACCATTCACTTTTTTGATGATATTCTGTAGGCAAATAAAATAAGCATTCTTATACTTTCTGATAAACTTAAATCCCACAGCATATAAAAAAGCTGACCTAAGGAAGTCCTCTCTTTGAGAACGAGGCAGAGTTTACTTAAAAGCTTTAAAATCATCTAAATTTATCTAGCCATACCAAACACAGTCCCCACCATTATGGAGCTAAGTTAAGGCAAGAACATTTAAATGTCTTATTACATAAAAGCTGAAAGATTTTAATTGCTTAACACTCTCAACCAAATATCTGTTTTAAGTCAGAAATTGCTAACTGCAATTTCAAACAATTCTAAAGATACAAGGTATACACATCCTGAGTAAGCAAAGTGGAATATAGGACATTACTTCTGCTAAGGTTCCTACTTCCGTCAGAAATTCTTAACTAGTATCTCCATAAAGAAAGCTGATAGGATCAACCACTTAGAAGTTAAAGCAATTAAGAGTTCAGCTTCTCATCTTAATTCTATTCTCCTGAACCATTTACTTTTACATCAGTGCCCAAAATACATTCAAAATAATTAGAAATTAAACAAAAAGAACAATTTTTTACTAAGAAATCAACCTTATGTGTTAATAGCTATTCTTTAAGTATTAATCTGTGTTCCCCAGGTTACACTAAAAACTAGAAATTAAGTAAACCTATAAGAACAAGTATTTATATAATAATTCTTAAATTATGACACACACATGAATAATTATTTATCCTCAAGAATCTCAAGTTTTCTTTATCTTATTCCAAACCTGTACTCACTTGGACTTTTAAAGACAACTGCAATTAGGAGTAAAAATGTGTAATGGGAGTTTGTAGAAACACAGATGGGATATTTACTCCTTTTATCCTAATTCTAAATGGCCGAAGGTATAAAATGAATTGGGTTAAAATAAACCAGGATGTTAGTATCTATACCCTCAAGAAGAGAAGAAACAATTCTTGTTTTAAGGGCCTCTATACAGTATCAGGAGCCCTGGTGGCACAATGGTTAAGAGCTCGGCTGCTAACCAAAATGCTGGCTGTTGGAATCCACCAGCCACTCCTTGGAAATCCTATGGGGCAGTTCTACTCTGTCCTATAGGGTGCTATGAGTTGGAATCGACTCGACTGCAATGGGTTTGGTTTTGGTTTTATACAGTATCAAGATCGGGATGTGTATTACCTTTACGTAATAGTATCTGAGGGCTCGGCTAAGTTTATCATAATTCATGTTTGGCTTGTTTTTGCGAACTCCCCAGAGACGAGCCACCTCTTCTGCCTGCAAAAGCTTGAACTCCCCATCATGAGAGGTCCAGCAGATCATGTGCTTATTCTGAGGCTCCTGGAGGAGCTGAAGAAGGAACTGCCACAGGGTGATAGCACTGTCCATAGCAATGAGCTGGAAGAGGAATGCAGACAAGATACACGGTAAGGTTAACACGTCAGACACTGTTTTAAGTGCTGTAAATGAATTAATTCATTTTCACCTCTATAACAATCATATAAGATCGATACTACTGCCTCCCTCTTTTACATATGAAAAAAGGATTCATAGAAGGGTTAAATAACTTGTCTAAGGTCACACAAACAAATGGTGGAGCTGAAACTTACACCCAGGCAATCTGGATCCAGACTGCAAATTCTTAACCGCCACGCCATTCTGTTTAAGAAAAGTCTTTCTCGGATGCAACAAGTGACGTTTAGGAAAGATAAAGCTAGTTCTATGAATTACAGGAGCAGACTGATGATTATGAATCACTAGGACATCACTGTTAATTAAAATCCATTGTCATATTCTCTGAGATCACTGTTTCAACATCTATCTAAATCAACTCAGTTTGTGTGTGTGCGCGCGTGCCTGTCTCAGGGCTGCTCGGGGGCCAGGGTGTAAGGAATGATCTACTTCGTCACTGGTATTTCCCCTTTGAATAGCTTCCAGTATCATAAATGTAATTTACATACCAACTGGCAGCACTGACAATTCAGCAAAATGTTCCCTGATTTAATTCAGAAGTTCTGTCACCGTTCTGTCCAGAGATTCTATCCACATGGATCCTTTTATTTGATTATCAAGACACAAACTGAAGAAAAATCCTCCAGTATCTCAAGTTTTAGGATCTCCCTGTTCAGCCACGGTTGGTGTTTTGGCACTATTGATATTTTGGGTCAAATAATTCTTTGTTGTGGGAAGAGGTCCCATGCACTGTACACAGTTTTTTTAACAGCATCCCTGGTCGCTACCCACTAAGTGCCAGTAGCACCCTCTGCCCAGCTGGGACAATCGAAAGTGTCTCCAGACATTGCCAAATTATCTACGGGGCATAAAATCTCCCCACGTGAGAACTACTGGTTTAGGCGACAGATCAGGGAGGAAATGCTCTCATTATTCTCCTTGCAAAACTTCAAAACACTTTGTCTATTAGGAAGAATTCTTTAGGGCAAACATTCTGGCCAAATACACAAAAGGTCTTCCCAAGAAGCTTATAACTGAAGACCTTCACAAAAAAAGCAACCACAAAAACAAAACAAAAAAGACCTTCCTTTCTTTATCTAGGAATAAGAACTCAATGGACCAAAAGAGGGTTTGAAAACAAATTAAATCAATTCCATTAAAACCTAACACTTACAAAAACAGATAACTGGAGTACATCAAAATTTAAAACTCCTGTGCTGTAAACAATACGGTCGAGTGAAAAGACAGCCCACGGGATGGGAGAGAGTATTTTCAAACCATGTATCTCATAAGGGACTTGTAATCAGAATATATAAAGAACTCTTACAACTCGATAAAAAAAATTAAAAATGGGCAAAGGGTTTGAAAAGACATTTCTCCAAAGAACACATACAAACGGCCAGTAAGCACATGAAAAGACGCTCAACATCATTAGTCATTAAGGAAATGAAAATCAAAACCACATGATACCACTACACACCCACTAGGGTAAGTATAATGAAAAAGACAGGCAATAACAAGTGTTGGTGAGGATGCAAAGAAACTGGAACCCTCATACGATACTAGTGGAAGTGTAAACTGGTACAGCCACTTTGGAAAAGTTTGGCAGTTCCTCAAAACGCTAAACAGAGTTAGCATATAATGCAGCAATTCCGCTAAGGATATACCCAAAAGAATTAAAAACTTATGTCCACAAAAAAAACTTGTACACAAACGTTCACAGCAGCATTATTCATAATAGACAAAAAGTGAAAACAACCCAGATGTCCACTAACTGACAAAAGGAGAAACAATATGTGGTACAATCACACAATGGAATATCTGGCCATAAAAAGGAATAAAATACTGATACATGCTACAACATGGATGAGCCTTGAAAACATTATGCTGAATGAAAGAAAGCAGTCACCAAAAACCACATATTGTCTGGTTTCATTTATGTGAAATGTCCAGAATAGGCAAATCTGTAAAAACAGAAAGTAGATTAGTGGTTGCTTAGGGCTGGGGGTAGGGAGAGCAATGGGGAGTAGCTACTAGTGGGTACAGGGTTTCTTTTGGTGGTGATGAAAATGTTCTGAAGTTAGACTGTGGTGATGGTTGCACAACTGCTATGAATATACTAAAAACCACTGAATTGTACACTTAAATAGGTGAATTTTATGGTATGTCAATTATATCTCAATAAGGATGTTTTTAAAAAAAAAAAAAAAACCCTGAGGGAAACAAACCAATAACCCCAACCCTACACACAGTCCAAAAGCTAGGCCTGAGAAGCCTAATTCTAACAACAACTCGGAGGATGGGGTCCTTAAAAATCAAATATGTCTGCTTCCAAAAAGGCCAGAGGTAAAGAGCTGAAGATAAATCTGAGTTACTATAACTTTTCTGAGACAAAGAAAATGTCTTCCAGTAATCCTCACGGTATCACTTTGAAGCTGGCTGTACAGAGATACCGTTATCCAAAAGTGGAGATGGGAAAATAATAACATAAAGGAGAAAATGTCTTCCAGAATCAGGGAGTTAACAGAGGGGCTAAGGCTGAGTCCAAGTTCCTCTAATCACAGTCATATTCTCTCTTCATGAGGGAAACCACCTCCTAGATGGATAAAAGCACTGACATAAAGTATTATGTATTAGATACTAAGTAAAAGTACTCACATAAAGTACTACGTATTAGATACTAAGTAAAAGCGCTCACATAAAGTACTACATATTAGATACTAAGTAAAAGCACTCACATAAAGTACTACGTATTAGATACTAAGTAAAAGCACTCACATAAAGTACTACATATTAGATACTAAGTGATACTGTTGTTGTGTCAGTGGATTCCTACTCACAGCCACCCTACGTGACAGAGGAGAACTCTGCCATAGGGTTTCCTAGGCTGTAATCTTTAAGGGAGCAGATCACCAGGTCTTTTCTCCCACAGAGCAGCTGGTGGGTTTGAACCACCAACCTTTCTGTTAGCAGTGGAGTGCTTAACCACTGTTCCACCAGGGCATGGTATTAATCTACAAATATAAAGTGCTACCTTAATGTTTAGGGGGACAGTGGTAGTTCAGTGGTAGAATTCTCACCTTTCATGCAGGAGACCCAAGTTGGATTCCTGGCCCATGCACCTCGTGTGCAGCCACAACCTGTCTGTGAGTGGAGGCTTGCATGTTGCTATGATGCTGAACACATTCCAGTGGAGCTTCTAGACTAAGATGGACTAGGAAGAAATGCCTGACACTTTACTTTCAAAAAATCAAATGAGCCAATAAAAACCCTATGGATCACAACAGTCCAATCCACAACCAATCACAGGGTGATGCAGGATCAGGCAGCATTTCATTCCGTTGTGCATGGGTTGCCATGAGTCCAGGGCCGACTGGACAGCAGCTAACAACAACACCTTAATGCCAAATAACCATGCCCACTAGAAATCATAATTCCTCACAGCCTCACTTAAACTGGGTTAAAATAGTGGTTTTATTTTATATCCATCAATTATTGGGGGAGTAGAAGGCACACTCCCTGTCATTTCTCTGAGTTTACCAGACATCTGATGATGTCTATTTATGGCAAGTTGCTTTTATACTACATAGGTTTCCCATTTAAACAAATATTTGCCAGTCTAAGCCTGTTAAAATGAGGCATTGGCAGTTTAGTGGTAGAATGCTCGCTTTCCATGCAGGACACCTGGGTTCAATTCCCGGCCAATGCACCTCATGCAGCCACCACCTGTCTCTGAGTGGAGGCTTGCTATAATGCTGAACAGGTTTCAGCGGAGCTTCCAGACTAGGATGGACCTGGCAGTCTACTTCCAAAAAAACATCAGCCAGTGAAAACCCAATGGATCACAATGGTCCAATCTATAACCAGTGATGGGGATGGCACAGTGTTTAGTTCTGTTGTGCACAGGGTTGCCATGAGTTGGCGGCCAACCCGACAGCAGCTAACAAGAAGCCTGTTAAACTGTTGTTGTTAGCTGCCGTTAAATTGATTCCGACTCATCTACTCCCTAGTGAACAGCTTCATCAAAGAACTCAATCTCCACATTTCTAAACATCGCTTTCATATTAAGAATACTCATATAGGTAGGAGCCTGCTGGTGCAGTGGTTAAGAGCTACAGCTGCTAACCAAAAGGTTAGCAGTTCAAATTCAACAGCTGCTCCTTGGAAACCCTATGGGGCAGTTCTACTCTGTCCTATAGGGTTGTTACAAGTCAGAATCGACTTGATGGCAACAAGTTTGGCCTTTTTTGATATAGGGGTAGAGGTGTGAGTACGTGTGTCAGAGAGATGAGGAGGGAAGAAAGGAGAGAAGCAGAAAACTGCAATCTCTGGACTACTAGAAATTTAGTGTCTGTGATCCCATTTGTTTTTGGAAAAATTCCAAAAACCAAATCCTGAAGTCTTGACACCTATAGATAGATAATGCTTGAGCCTTACAGGTTGACAATGGCTAAGCTATACATCCAAAAGACAGAAACAACACATTAACACTCCACAATGAGCACACAGTGCCATCCTGAGCAAAGCGGAGGTTCCCAAAAGTATGTGGGTGCTCCATATGTGGTGCAGATTTAACTTCCACCTTCCCTTTATTAGTGGAGCAGCCAGTATTGAGAGGCGCCCTGGTGGCACAGTGGTTAAGCCCTCGGCTCCTAACGGAAAGACTGGCGGTTCAAACCCATCAGCTGCTCTGTGGGGGACAGATGTCGCAGTCTGCTTCTGTAAAGACTTCAGCCTTGGAAATCATATAGGGCAGTTCCACTCTGTCCGGTAGGGTCACTATGGGGTGGAATCAACTTGATGGCAATGGGTTTGGTTTTTTGGGGCCTGGGATAGAAGGTTGTTGAGAATGAAAGATAACAGGCATTGCAGCTTGGGAGTGAAGGAGTGGGAAGGAAATTTTCTTCTGAGAAAGACTGATGAAGACAAAAAAGGGCACCTTCAGT